TAATGCCCAGTTGCACCATTCCTGGGTCGAGGAGGAAATAAAAAATGAAATTAAAGATTTTTTAGAATTCAATGAGAATGTGAACACAACATACCCAAACTTATGGGACACTTTGAAAGCAGTGCTAATAGGAAAGTTCATAGCACTAAGTGCCCACATGAAGAAACTGGAGAGTAGTCACACCAGAGAATTAACAGCACAACTGAAAGCTGTAGAACACAAAGAAGCCAACGCACCTCGGAGGAGTAGACGCCAGGAAATAATCAAATTGAGGGCTGAAATCAATAATGTAGAAACCAGGAAAACAATACAAAGAATTAATATAATGAAGAGTTGGTTCTTCGAGAAAATCAATAAGATAGACAAACCTTTATCCAAACTTACCAAACAGCAGAGAGTGAACATGCAAATTAATAAAATCAGAAATGAAAAGGGGGACATAACAACAGACACTGAGGAAATCCAGAGAATCATCAGGTCATACTTTGAAAACCTGTACTCCATAAAATTCAAAAATTTAAAGGAAATGGACAATTTTCTGGATAGATATCACTTACCAAAATTAAATCAAGAACAGATAAACAATTTAAATAAACCTATGACCCCCAATGAATTAGAAGCAGTCATCAAAAGTCTCCCAACCAAAAAAAATCCGAGGGCCAGATGGTTTCAGTGCAGAATTCTACCAGAAATTCAAAAAACAGCTAATACCAATTCTCCTCAAAGTGTTCCATACAATAGAAGCAGAAAGGTCATTGCCAAACTCTTTTTATGAGGCTACAATTACCCTGGTAACCAAGCCACACAAAGACACAATTAAGAAAGAGAACTACAAACCAATATCCCTCATGAACATCGATGCAAAAATACTCAATAAAATACTGGCAAATCGAATCCAAGAATACATCAGAGAAATCATCCACCAAGTAGGCTTCATCCTAGTGATGCAAGGACAGTCCAACATATGAAAATCCATCAGTGTAATCCACCATATAAACAGACAGAAGGACAAACCATATGATCATCTCACTAGATGCTGAAAAAGCCTTTGACAAAATCCAACACCCATTCATGATGAAGGTCTTGGAGAGATCAGGGATAACAGGAACATAATAAACATAATAAAGGCAATATATGTAATCCAACAGGCCAACATCAAACTAAATGGAAAGAAACTCAAGGTGATTCCTCTAAAATCAGGAATAATTCAAGGTTGTCCACTCTTGTCATACCTCTTCAATATTGTACTTGAAGTTCTTGCTAGAGCAACAAAAGGAGATCAAGGGGATACAAATTGGAAAGGAAAACATCAAACTCTATTTGCAGATGATATGATAGTCTACATAAATGACCTGAAGAATTCTACTAGGGAACTCCTACAGCTGATGAACACCTTTAGCAAAGTGGCAGGATGCAAGATTAACTAAAAAAAAAATCAGTATCCCTACTATTTATAGACAATAAAAATGGCAATCTTGCCAAAAGCAATCTACATTTTCAACACAATCCCCATCAAAATCCCAGCACAATTCTTCACAGACATTGAAACAATAATTCTCAATTTTATATGGAAAAACAAAAGACCCAGGATAGCCAAAACAACCCTGTACAATAAAGGAACTTCTGGGGACATCACCATCCCTGACTTCAAGCTGTATTATAGAGCAATAGTCCTGAAAACAGCTTGGTATTGGCACAAAAATAGACAGGTAGACCAGTTGAATGGAGTTGAAAACCCTGATATTAACCCACACACCTACAAACACCTGATTTTTGACAGAGCAGCTAAAGGAATGGAATAAAGAAAGCATCTTCAACCAATGGTGCTGGCATAACTGGATGCTGGCGTGTAGAAGACTGAAGATAGATCCATGCCTATTGCCATGCACAAAGCTTAAGTCCAAATGGATCAAAGACCTCAACATAAATCCAGCCACCCTGAACCTATTAGTAGAGAAAGTGGGAAATACCCTTGAATGAATTGGTACAGGAGATAGCCTCCTGAACATTATACCAGTAGCACAGATACTGAGATTGACAATTAATAAATGGGACCTCCTGAAACTGAGAAGCTTCTGTAAGGCAAAGCACACAGCAAGACAAAACGGCAGCCGACAGAATGGGAAAAGATACTCACCAACTCCACATCTGACAGAGGGCTGATCTCCAAAATTTACAAAGAACTCAAGAAGCTAGTCTCCAAAACACCAAACAATCCAGTTAAAAAGTGTGGTACAGAACTAAATAGACAATTCCCAATAGAGGAATCTAAAATGGTTGAAAGACACATGAGAAAGTGTTCAGCATCCTACCTTGGAAATCTATGGGACCTCCTGTAGTAGTTCAGTACTTATCCCTAGCATAAGTGTAGACTTTGGGAGACCATTGCACATAAAGGGATACTCCCTGAGCCAAGACACACAGGGGTGGGCCTAGGCCCTATCCTAAAGGACAAGATAGACTCTGATGACACCCTATGGAAGGTCTCACCCTCCAGGGGGAGCAGGAATGATATATGATAGGTAGGATTTTAGTTGGGGGTGTTGTAGGGGAGGAGGGAAGGGAGAGGGAAGAGGGACTAGCATGTAAAACAATCTTGTTTCTAATTCAAAGAAAAAAAAGAAAAAAAAGGAAAGTGTTCAACATAAAGTGTTCAACATCCTTAGCCATCAGGAAAATGCAAATCAAAACAACTCCAAGATACCATCTTACTCCTGTCAGAATGGCTAAAATCAAAAACAACAATGACAGTTTGTGCTGGAGAGGATGTGGAGAAAGGTGAACACTCCTCCACTGCTGGTGGGCGTGCCAACTTGCACAGCCACTTTGGAAATCAGTATGGCAATTCCTCAGGAAAATGGGAATCAGTCTACCACAAGATCCAGCAATTCCACTCTTAGGCATATACCCAAAAGAAGCACATTCATACAATAAGGACATCTGTTCAACTATGTTCATAGCAGCATTATTTGTAATAGCCAGAACCTGGAAGCAACCTAGATGCTCCTCAAGTGAAGAATGGATAGAGAAAATGTGGTACATTTATACAATGGAGTACTACTCAGCAGGGGGAAAAAAAACCCAAAAAACAATGGAATCTTGAAATTCACAGGCAAATGTGAATTAGAAAGAACTAGAAGAAACCATTCTGAGCGAGGTAACCCAGTCACAAAAAGACAAGCATGGTATGTACTCACTCATATATGGATTTTAGACATAGAACGAAGGATTACCAGCTCACAATTCACACCGCCAGAGAAGCTAGGAAACAAAGAGGACTCTAAGATAGACATACATGGTTCCCTGGCGAAGGGGAAAGGGACAAGATCTCCTGAGCTAGTTGGGAGCATGAGAGGAGGGGAGAGCGAGCTAGGAGAATGAGAAGGGGAGAAGAGGATGGTTGAGGAGGAAATGAGTGAGCAGGAAGTTTGAGTTGGGGGAAGAATAGAGGAAAGCAAGATCAGAGATACCACAATACAGGGAGCCATTATAGGTTTACAGAGAAATCAGATGCTAGGGAAATGACTGTAGATCTACAGCGATGATACCAACTAACAATCTAAGCAACAGAGGAGAGGCTACCTTAAATGCCCTTCCCGGATAATGAGATTGATGACTGATTTATATGCCATGCTATAGCCTTCATCCAGCTGCTGGTGGAAGTAGAAGCAGACACCCACAGGTAATCACTGAACTGAACTGGAATCCAGTTGCAGCAAAGGAGGAGTGATGAACAAAGGCATCAAAACCAAGCTGGTGAAACCCACAGAAACAGCTGACCTGAACAAGGGGGAACTCTTGGTTTCCAGACTGATAGCTGGGAAACCAGCAGGGGTCTGATCCAGACCCCATGAATGTGGGTGTCTGTGAGGAGACCTCGGAAAAGGGGCCTTTTGTAGAGATCAGTACTTATCCCTAGCATAGGAATAAACTTTGGGAGCCCATTCCACATAGAGGGATACTGCTTGAGCCTACACACAAGGGAGAGGGCCTAAGCCCTATCCTAATTTTTGAGACAGACTCTAAAGACCCCCTATGGAAGGCCTCACCATCCCTGGGGAGCAGAAAGGGTATGGAATAGGTAGGGTGTGAGTTCGGGGGTGGGCAGGGTTGGAGGGGAGGGAGAGGCAACTGGGATTGACATGTAAAATAATCTTGTTTCTAATTTAAATAAAAAATGGAGAGAAAGAAAAAAAAAAGGGCAAGTCCAAAGCTCCTCAAATGAAACTTTCGTTCTCTCTTTTCACAATCTGTGATTGTTTTAATTATCTTCTTACTGTTGAAAACTTACAAACTATTGCCTTTTAAAATCTTCTCATTTAATAAGTTGGCAAAGAGTGCTGCTAGTAATCACACATATCAGAAGTTCCAGTTTGTTTGTTTCTGAATGGGTGTTTAAGAACAATTCTGGATTATAGCTTAGTCTTAGACAATTAAGAATAAAAAGTAAGGTCTAAGTTGCTGGTTTCTAAAAGCATTTTAACTGAATAGATCAACTATAAAGATGTGCTAAAAACTCTTTATTTGATATTATACATATTCTAGAGTAAGTGCCTTTGAACAGTAAAAGGCAACATCCTTTGACTTAGGGAATTCTAATTAATATGACCTTTTCAAATCAAGAATAGACATTGCCTGTAACAGGCCAGTGAATACAAACTGAAACACAGGGGAATCTTCTTGTTTTTGAGATGGTGACAAAATTTCCTCAGTGTTTAAACATACTCTTGTGCCCAGTTATATAAAGATAAAACCATTCAGTAGTTTTGAGGGGAAACCCCCATCTTTGTGGAAAGTAGAACTTTAATAATTCAGTCTAATCCTGTTTTGATAAAGGGAGAGCAGTGACAGTATTTATGCAACCAGAACTGTTATATTTTTAAAAAGATCATACCCACTTTACAACAAGACAATTTTACTTAAATCAGGACTGTGCAAACAAAACATTGTTAGCCATTCATGATCTGAATTTTGGTGTATAAAGTAAATTATGGTACACATTAAAAGCCAAGAGACAATTGTTTTGTAATAAAGAAGACAGTGGAATCACTCACTAATAGCCTTTTAAGATAAGCTATTAGGTCTGCCCTTTCTCTCTTGTTCTTAATTCCAGGGAAGATCATTTTTGTTCCAGGGATATACTTTTTGGGATTCTCCAAATACTCCATCAAGGTATCCTTTCCCCATGTGATGCCTTTGTTCTTGTTGGTATCTCTGTACACTAATCCAGTGGCCTGACCTGTCTTCCTCCCAAACAGACCATGCATCTTTGCTCCAGTCTTATGCTTGCCTCCCTTTTCTATAGTGTGGTACTCAGCACACTTCTCAACAAAAGTCTTCTTGCCTTTCTCAGCATCACGCATTTTAAATCAGGTGACCAACACAAGTCACTTCGATCTGAAGATGGGTGTCCTGCTTTCTCCTCTCTTTTCTTAAAATGAGTCATTTTAAAAGGACAGTTCAGAGTACTTAATGGAAATACATTGACTTACAGCTGTGCCGTCACTTTTAGTAGATACATCCCAGTACAACTGAAATAAGATGAACACAAACCGTATTGAGTGTAGGCGTCTGTTGTAGTCACCCTCCTCCCACTTTCTCTCAACCGCAGAGGGTGTATGTAGAAATTATGTAGAGCTTCTCAGAGACAAGCTGTTTGCTAATTATTGTTATTCTTCTGTTATTGTAAAGAATGTGGTAACATGCTGACCCTTGTTATATGTAACCTCAAGTACAAACTGTGTTTGGAGTAATGCAGGGTGTAACCATAGAAACAGAAGTTTCCTCTGCAAACTTCTCATTGGTGCACTTTATGATGCATATGAGCAAAGATTTGGTGAAGATCTAAAGCTCTACTTCAGCCTTATCCTGCCAAGAATGACTACTGCTCCCTGTCACAGACAACTGGAATAGGATTATGTGGGGAAGAAAAAAAACAGAAATCAAGGTGTTATTGTTTTGTTTAAAAAGAAGAAAAGAGAAATTGCTGAGACAGACATATTGACTATAAGTTTATTATAAGGCCCGACAGAATGGGGAGACTAAGAAGAGGAACAGGGGTAAATGGCTGACCGCCATGGCCGGTCGCCATAGAGAGAGAGAGCGGGGAAACAGAGAGACGGGAAAGCACATAGAGAGAGAGAGACAGGGGGAGAGAGAGAGAGACAGGGGGAGAGAGAGCGTAAAGGTGCAGGGGCCTATCTTTTAAAGGGGTCCTCTGCACCTGCGTGCGGACTTCTTTCCCATGGAACCTTGGGCTGACCAGGGTATTGCCTGAGTGGATTCCACCAGGTAACGGGCAGGCCAGCATAATGCCTGAACCTTTCACAAGGAATGATAGAAAATACCAGGGGTGAACAGACAACTTAAATTATCTTCTTTAGGTCATGTATTTGCTTATTCAACATGGCAATTTTCACTATTTTAACATATAAACCTTAATTACTATGCTAAAAATTAATTCTGGAGTAATTTTAAACTTACATTTATTCTAGTTACTCATTCTTTCCTTATTAATTCATTCAGTTATTCTGATTATTCCTGTTTCCCCTGTTATTATTATTGTTTTCCCCAACTCAAATTCATGGCCTCTTTATTATTATATCATATACATACCCATATATGCAGACATATGTATATATAAATGCAACCTGCTGAGTCATTAGTGTTTCTTTTTTATTATTTCTTTATTTATTCTTCTCTCATACATTACATCCTGACTGCAGTCATTAGTGTTTCTTTTGTGTATATAATTTTATAGCTAGTGACATGGGATTTCATAACCTATCATGGCTCATTCCTGGAAAGTACTAAATCTCTTTCTCTTGTAGCCATTAGTTGCCTGTAGCTTGTCATCTGGTGAAGGACGATTCAAGATTTCCCTTTTCCAGTTTAGCATTGGAACTGGTGGTGTCATTGTTCAGGCCTAGCTTAGGCAGCCATATTGTTGAAATTTCATGGGTGGGACTTTCCTGTCATACAGAGAAGATGCTGTCTTGCAGCAGAAGTTCTGATCCTCTGGCTCTTACTGCCTTTTGGCTTTCTCTAGTGATGTTCCTTGAGCCTTAGGTGTAGGGGTAGTGTTATAGATGCATCAGTAGGTATTGGATACCCCACGTTCTGTTCTCTGTATTTTTGCCAGTTTTGGCTTTCTGTAATGGCCTGTGTCTGCTGCAAAAAGAAGCTTCTCTGATGAGGAATGAGAACTACACTCATCTGTAAAAGTGTAAAGGTAAGTATTAAGGAGGCAGTTAGAGATTTTACTAGTTTGGGGAAGTGATAACAGTAGATTCTCCTCTAGGGCCCATGACCTCACCAGCCCTGGGTAATCTTTTAGGTTTATAGTACTAGGCATGATTTCTCCTATTGAGTGAGTTCACCTCCAAATACATGGCTGTTGTTTACTCCCAAGATACAAATGCCACTGTTGCATCCTTGAGGAAATCTTGCAGTGCTGGTCATCGCTGTGCTCACAGGCTTTACAGCTGGGTAGCACTATTGCTTTTCTCCCTTGGCAATTTGCACAGCACCTGCAGATGCTGTGAGAACTAGTCATCAGGAGACCTCCAGGGCATATCCAGCAGGATGTTTCCAGGTCCTGTGTCTGAAGTGTGTGGTGTTGTCAGCAATAGGGTCCTACCTTCAAGTTCTGGAAGGCAACCAGGGCAAAGACAGTAGCCTATATTGCTTTGTCATATTGTTTTGGGAATCTAATGGGTTCACCTCACAAAGCTGGCTTTGCACTGCCTATGTTGTTGAGGATAGAATTTTTGTAGCGAAGCCATCCCCTTTTAGACTTACTTTTCATGGAAAAACATAACCGATCAAATTTCATTGCTCATTATTGGTCTTTTTAGATTTTATTTCTTCCTGACTCAGTCTTAGTAGTTTGTTTATGTTAGGAATTTACAATTTTCCCCAAGTTTTCCAGTTTGAGGAATGTAATCGTTTGCAATATTCCCACAATCCTTTTCATTTTAAATTTATTAATTTTCATCTGTCATAGTTTAATCTAAGAGTACTTAAAAGCTGTTTATCTTTCAAATAAACAACTTTTAGTCTTGTTGATCTTTTTTTTTGTACCAGTAGTTCTCAAGAGAGAAAAACACCATGTGACAGAGTTCAAGTAGAGGGATTCTTTATTTTTTTTATTTTTTATTTTTTTAAAATTTATTTATTAGTTCCGGTTCTGCAAAGTCCACCAAATCTTCCTGTGCTGGTCCTAGACCCTTTCCCATGTGTCCAGGGCCAGAGTGTATCCCTTCACGTGGGATGGGCTCTCAAAGTCCCTTCTTGCACCAGGGAAAAATACTAATCTACCACCAGAGGCTCCCTGGAGTGCAGAGGCCTCCTTATTGACATCCATGTTCAGGGGTCTGGATCAGTCTTGTACTGGCCTCCCCGACAGCATCTGGGGTCGATGTGCTCTCCCTTGTTCATGCCAACTGTTCCTGTGGGTTTCTCCAACCTGGTTCAGACCCCTTCGCTCTTTGTTCCTCCCTCTCTTCAACTAAATTCCCGATTTCAGCTCAGTGTATATCTGTGGATGTCTGTCTGGAGGGGTTCTTTATTAAGGGAAAAGGATTGTAAAAAGGGAGAGGGGAGTGGGGAGACTGGCCTCCAGGGATGGGGGCAGTGAGAGATGGGAAAGAGGCAGAGAGAGAGAGGGGGGCAGAAAGGGAGGCAGAGAGACAGAGGGAGAGAGGGATGAGAGGTGGTCAGGTCCCTTTTAAAAGGGAACATAGAGAATAGGCTCAGGTGGTGCTCTTAGTGGCAACAGCTGAGGGTGTAGCCTGTTAGCACTCCAAAGGCAGGTCAGTACAAATGCCTAAATACTAACACTTTTCCTAGTTTAGATTTCTATTGAAATCTTTACTGTTTATTCTTTCGGTTATCATTATTCTCCTTTTCCCCCCATTAAAGCATAACATTAAATCATTTACTTAGTGATTTTTAAAATTGTTAACTGCTAGCATACAAAATAATGGGTTTTGTTAAATAATGGTTGACATTTCGTAAAGGTATATTTTATTTTTAATCCTTTGCACACGCACACGTGTGTGTGTGTGTGTGTGTGTGTGTGTGTGTGTGTGTGTGTGTGTGTGTGTGTGTATGTGAGTGTGAGTGCAGCTGCTCATGGAGGCCAGAGGTGTTGGATCAGAGTTATAGGTAGTTATGAACTGTTCAACTCCAATTAACTCTGATCCTCTGGAGAAATTAAACTTAAATCATCTAACTACTGAGCCATCTCTCCAGCTCTTACTGTGACACACACACACACACACACACACACACACTTTGATCTTATTTGTCCCCCCATCCTCTCATCTTTTGCTGGTTCCCTTCCTTCAAATCTTTACTGCTTTCATGTCACATGTATTTTTTTTAACCTTCTCTTGCCCACCCTTTACTCCTCTTATAATTCTTTGTTTTTGTAGACCTTTTTCTACTTTCATGTCTTCTATATGTGTTTATGCATCCATCATGTGTATCTAAATTTAAGTCTAGATTCTTCATCTGAGAGAAAGCACACAGTCTTTGTCTCCGTGTCTGGCTTATGTCACCTAATATTTTCTTACAAATGTTATAATTTTCATTGTCCTTTACAGCTGAATAAAATTCTGTTGTGTTTATAGGACAACATTCTCTTCATGCATTTTTCTACTGGTGGAATTTCAGGCTTGTTCAAAATCACAGCTTTTCTGGTGAATAGTGTAGCAGTAATCATGGGTGTTTAAGTCTCTGTGGCATGCTTAGATTTCCTGTGGTATAGATCCAGGCACAGTATGGCTGGATCTGTATGTTCACTCAAGTTTTAGTATTTTGAGGATCTATCTTACTGATTTCTGTAATGGCCAAGCCAATTTACACACCCACCAGCAATGTATATAGGTTTCCCTGTCATTGCAAGCTTGCCAACATTTGCTTTCTTGATGACCCAGATTCTGACTTTGATGCAATGGAATCTCTCTGTATCTTTAACTTAAAGTTCCTTGATAGGCTTAAAGATCTTGAATTCTTTTTGTTTTGTTTCATTTTGTTTTGTTTCAGACAGGGTTTTTCTGTGTAGCGTTGACTGTCCTGGAATTTGCTCTGTAGATCACACCTGGAACTCACAGAGATCCACCTGCCTCTGCTGGGATTAAATGCCTGGGCCACCACTACTGGGCATAAGATCTTGAATACTTGTTTTAAAAACTGTGTAGGCCAGTTCTGTTTCTTCATTGTAGATCTATCTCTTTAATTCATTAGTTCATTTATTAAGTGAATGATATGTTTTATTTTAAAATTTTTGGAGTTTTTTCTTTTATAGATTCCATATGCTAATCCCTGTCTTTGACATATAATTGTTAAAGTTTTTTTTTCTGTTCTGTAGGTTGTTTCTTCAATTTGATGATTGTTTCATTTTCTATAAAGAAGCCTTAATTTCTTACAATATTATTTATCTTTTTTTGGAGAGAATTTTCTACTATATTGGAATTATTTTCAGAAAATCCTTGTGTGTGTCTACATCTCTTATTAGAAACAAATTTAATACAATTCTGTTTTGCAGAGGCTCAAAAGCAAGTAAGACAGATAACATTTCTGCAAAGCAGGCTCCATGTGTGAAAGAAAAGCACAGAGCTTATCGTGGCATTTCTGAGACATCTGATACTCAGCCTAAAGGTTTGTGATTGCTAGAAAACTGAATTTGAATTTTTCTTATTGTATTTACAGTAATTTTTGTTATGAATATTTTATAGTAATATTGAGATGATGTGTAAATGTAAACAGTAGTTATCTAATGCAAATAAAATTGCCAAAACATTTATTTATATACCTCAGTATCTGTTTCTTTCTTTCTTTGCCAGTCCCAAAGTTAAATTTGAATATTGCTTTTTGTCTTTTTGTGTGTGTACAGAGTAAAAATATTTATGAAGCTTTGCTAGTTTGACTGTTCAAATCATTGTTTTCATGGATATTAATATTACTGTTATCTGGAATTTTATTATGAGCTTCCCACTGTTAATTCTCTTACTGCAAAATGCATTGTTCAGGACTTCTTTTAACTATCAAAGGATGCCCACCTAATCCAGTTTTAGTAAACATGAAGGTAAATACATCTTGGACTTCTAAAAATTCTTCACAGGTCTCCTAATGTATATAATTAATAATTATTATGACTCCTTTCTTATTTATTTTCCTTTGAAGATTTAAAAGTTTTTTTAACCAAAATTTATGAGAAACTACTTTACTACCTTAACCATTAGAGCTTTCTTGGATTGTTGGTAGTATAAAACAAAGTAAGATATTTTGTTTTCTGAGTAATTTTATAAATTATTCACAAGGAAAAATGTCCTTTAATCACACTATACAAAAATTTATGTTATTTTATTTCAAATAGAATCATTAGGATTCATTTATTTTAGAAAAAAATAATCCTAAGTATTCATATGGCAACAGAAAACACAGCCATACCAAAACTACATAGACAGAACTTCTAGGAGGTATCAAAATATCTGACTTTAGATTATACTACAGATCCATAGTGACAAATATAGCATGGTACTCTCACAAAACAGACATACAGATCAATGGAATATAATCAAAGACCCAGAAATAAGCCCCTGCTATTTAAGGAAAAGTTAAATCATGGAGTTTGCCAGGTAATGGTTGGATCTGGAGATTACTGTGTTAAATGAGGGTATAAGGTCTCCTTGGTTCTAATTTGAATATTGTGTCTGGTTATGTGGGAATGAGTGTGATTATAGGTCAGAAACTAGAAAGTAGGTTGGCTCCAGGGATTCTGGGGGGAGGACCTGGGGAGAAGGATTGATGAACAGAAACAAAAGTATAATAAGTTCCATAATGAAACTCAATACTGTATATGCTAATTAAAACAAATTCAAAATAATCATAAGAGAATTGCCCAGTGTTGGTTGTACTCACCTTTAATCCCAGCACTCGGGAGGCAGAGACAGGCAGAGCTCTTTGAGTTTGAGGCCAGCCTGGTCTACAGAGAGAGTTCCAGGACAACCAGGGATGTTCGCAGAAAAACCCTGTCTCAAAAAGCCAAAATTAAAACCAAACAAACAAAAAGACAATTAAAGGTAATTTTTCTGATTCCAGTTGTTGAAGCTTTATCATAAAGGAGTTTCTAAAGTAAATTACAGGTATAGTTTTCCTTTTGTAGAGAAGTAAATCTGCCTTGTAGACCTTTCTTTTTCTTTTTTCTTTTTAAACTATAGAGAATACATTGGAAATGATACACACACACACACACACACACACACACACACACACACACACACACACACACCC